GAGTCTACACCCAACAAAAATGACTCAATACAAATACCAGAAATATGGAAGACATTATTACCGCCAGTCAAATCAGAAGAGGAAAATAAATAATCTCAAAATTCTATTTCAATTCAAGCACATCACAACATTCTAACAAGTTTCTTATTATGACTATAAAAACACTCGTCTTATTTCCCATCTGACTGTAACGGATCAGTAACACTCGTATTATTATTTCTGAATGTACATTATCCCATATTGATTTTTATTCAAATGTCTAATCATCAATTCCACACATGTATATAAATGAAGGAAGGAAGTTGTGTGAGTAACTTGATATGATTATGAGCAGTAATAGTTTGTGCTCGAAACGTGGTCATCAGTTAATATTACTGTGTGACACTGTGTGACTTATCAATGAAATGAAATCTTATCCATAATGGTGTTAGACTCTACCACAGTGCACAAGTTTTATACTTATATCAATGATTATATCAAAACTAACTTTTTTTCCTCATTATTCCCTATTTGATTGTCATTTAGTCTCGCTTCCAACGGTGCGAATGGTCCACCGGCGTAAGGGGTATTCGTGTGGTTGTGCCACAGGATGAGATTGTATACAGTTCTGGCCTTGCAAAAAGCTAGGATAAGTGTTCCACTCTCCTGAAAACCCATACTTTGTTTAAATGAACTGGTTTATCCTGTTGGTAGTTGTGTGCCAGTGGTCCGGGAATAGATTCCCGGCTGACGCACTCCTTTATGTCGCCTAGCTGGTAGTAAGTCCAGTAAAGAGGGAAGGTTGGGACTGAGGCTAGCAACCTCATCCCGTAAAGTGAACACCACTCCTACTGGAACTCCTTCTTCAAAGTTCTAGCTTGAAGCCCCCTATGTTCCACAAGGAACGAAAAAGAATAAAACAATAGTAAATAAATAGTTAAGTGCTTCTCTAAGAGAGATTAAGCCATGTGCATCTAATACATACCTTAAAAAAAAACAGTGAAACGGCGAATGACCCATTAAGTCATCTGCGGCTCCCAGGACAATAGTGCTGTATCTGTAACTGTAGTAATTCTAGAGCTAATACACGCAATTATACCCTGAGGAGTAGGTGGGAGGATGCACTTCTCGGAAAGAACAACAGTGGGATCCAGTTCGCACGTTTCTTCCCCCCATTGGGAAGTACAAATAATGTGCAACACTGAACAAAATATTTAAATTATTCATCATCACCCCCTTTACTTTCTAAACTAAGTCAATATCAATGATATGTTGTGTACACACACACACACCTATGAGCCCACCGGTAGGCATTGAACGCAAGACTTTCAGGTTACAAGTTGAACTCATTGACCATTCATTCAGCTACTGGGATGAAATCCAATGGCCGATCAATCAATTCTAACTTTTGCCAACTCGTGATATATAATCCGACCGCCATCTCTGGTGTAGACGTGATATCCAACTGGTTGTTAACAAAGGGAAATGTATGCTGCTCGGCAGTTAGCTCCGTCCTCCTTGATGGCTAGCTGTGAGACATGGCCATTGAAAGTGGAAGACATGAAAAGCCTGGCTAGTTGTCTTTGATCACAGATAGTTGTCTGCGTTCTATGTCCCGTGCTAAGTGGTATAGTAAGGTGAGCAATATTGAAGTTAGACATCAGTCAGGTGTTCGATAGGTGGGAGGGGAAATCAATCGACAACGAGGTTGTGAAGTTACACCGATTTAGAGAGATGATTAGGACATGTGTTACGTAGGCATGCGCAGCTATGAATCGCCTTCCTCGACAATGAGCAATGTTAGCTGACACAGGATCGATCAGGTTAGAAGAGAGCTGCTAGTGGTGGTCAAACGAAAGCATGGCTTCATCAGTCAATGAAATTCACAACAGTCAGTCAAAGCCAGCCAGCCACGTAGGGATGTGCAGACTTCCTGACTGGTTGGATTCCTTGGGATGGTAAAAATTAAGTTAAGCTGCAGACAATTGGTGATGTGGCTCAAAATCGTCGTTGTCAATATGGCTGGCGCAGATGCATTCACTCTTTTTTGATTTATCCTTTCCAATAAAATCCTATTGTTCTTCGATATTACTGTTCTCTTTTGCCTCACACACTCTTGCTTTGTGTGCTACATGGGGGGGGGGGGGGGGAATGGCAACTCGTAGATGCACATCTGTGCAAAGAGTAGTTCTACATTGAAACCAGTTATTCAATCAGACCACCAATCAATCAGCGTCGTCGGTGAGTATCTGTATGCTCATGCCTTGGTTTTCAATGGGACTTTAACGATGGATGCGTGTGTGTTTCCTCATCAAACTTGAAATCGATCAATCAATACTTGAAAATATATTTATTTATTTATTGGTCTTAAGTATCCACTTTCAAACTATTTGTCATTATAATAACTCGTATGTATATTTACGTGGAATACACACACACAATTAACAAAGTCTTCTTAAATGTCAATAAAAAGAAGGATACAGTGTGCAGTTGTTTTATAAATAGTAGTAATGAGATATTTTCTGTTATAACACAACTTGTTACAGGTGAAGTAACACACTTGTTCTACTTAGATACCACCATCTGAGAAGACTTTACTTGTAAAAAAAATTTGTTCTCATAAGCAGTACCGAAGATGGGTAAGGTGCTTGTGATTAAAAAGGAAATTTTTTCAATTATGCCTGAAAATATTTATTTGAAGTCCAAGTAATCCAGAATTTATCATTTTGTAATGCACACTATACTGAAGATTAGATGGCCACCGGAAAGAAACACCAACAACAAACTATGGGAACAAACAAAACAAGAATCAGTCCCCCAACAAATATGCAGGAGAAAGTGGAGATGGATTGGACACTCACTCCCTGAGGAGGCCGCTGCGGGGTGACATCGCGCGTCAGGCTATAGCTCGAGTGGAACCCGAAAGGGAAGCGGCGAGTGGGACGTCCAAGGGTGGGTGACATGGAGGAGATCGTGTGAAGAGGAGTTGAAACAGTATGGAATAACATAGATGCAGGTGAAAAGTACAGCAGAAGACAGAAACAAGTGGAGACGTGCAGTTGAAGCCCTTTGTTCCACTAGGAACCCAAGGGAACAATAAATAATAATAAAATGCACACTAGCGCCTGTGATTTGTAAGTTATGTGTTCCACTCTGGGCAATGCACGTGATATTCCACCACTGGTTATCGATCAAAGAATGTGTGAGTGTGTGTGCGGGCTTCTTCTCAGCAGGTTCACTTTGTCCTCCTTTATGGATATTAAACATGGCCATTTACAGTGGAAGATAGGAAGGGGCTAGATGTCTTCCATTAAAGGCGTCTACATTCTATCTCAGATGTTAGATGGTATAATAGTGTGAGTAATATTGAGGTTAGGTATCGGCTGAGATGGCCAGGACGTGTGATATGCATCCCTACCTACTGTCTTTCTTGACGAGCAATGTTAGCTGATATCCAATAAGGTTGGAAAAGAGAAAGTTACAGGTTGTCAAACCAAAAACATGCAGTCAGTCCATGAAATCCTTGATAAGTTTTAGGATTTCATCATGAACTGACATCAGTTAGAGAACCATTGGAAAACATGGGAGCACTGGACAGCTAATTCGCCAGCCTAGTTTGGGACCCTTCAACAGTACACACCAACCGCTGGAGTTCGAACCCAGGACCTCCTGGCTGCAAGGTGAGCTAGTAGATAACTCAGCCACTGGGACCCGATCCATTGGTCAGCTCATGAATTCCAACTTCTGCCAATTCATGATATGGCACGACCACTAGCCAATATCATCCGTGGTGAGTATTTGCCCTCACACCCGACCTGTTGTAACCCACTGGTCACGACTTCCCACTACGTATCCGAATAGTCACTAGTGAGAATCAGATTGATATTCTAGTGTTGGTTTCCAGGGATTTAACAGTAGCAGTTCGGGTGTGAGGACAAATACTCGCCGACGACATTCGCTAGTGGTGGCGCCATATCATGAATTGGTAGAAGTTGGAAATCATGGGCTGACCATCGGATCGGGTCCCAGTCGCTAAATAGTCTACGAGCTCGCCTTGTGACCAGAAGGTTCAGGGTCCAAACCCTGACGGTGGGTACGTACTAATGAAGAGTCACAAACTAGGCTGGCGAAACAGTTGTCCAGCACTCGCAAGTTTCCCAATGGTCCTCCAATCGATGTCAGATCAAGATAAAATCCTGTAACCAATCAATCAAATCCCTGCAAACCAACGCCTGAAAATCCTTGATAGTCAGTGTGAGCCACATGGGGTGGTGTAGACTACCTTGGTTGGAGTCATCGGGATTCTAAGAAACAATGACAACTGTTATACCCCTGTTCCCCAGCAGTACAACTCCAGCCACAGACCCCCAACATAATGTAAAAAAGAATATTACACTATGCCTGTAACTGCTTATAGTCTAATCGCTATCCTAACAATCTTTCAGGCATGGTAGGACCTGTAGGAGCAATAGTTCCAGCTAGTGTAGCTTGTTGGGTCACTGCAACATGCAAGCCCGACCACCATGTCAAGGTAGCAGCTTTCGGTCAGGCCTCGAGAGTGACATGGAGGAGATTGTGTGAGGAGGAGGAGGAGGTAAGAGCCCATGGGCAATCGCGGGGTCAGCTTAACAAGATTGCAGAGAACAGGACACACTGGAGATGTGTTCCACTTGGAACCCATTGGGAACAATAATTAAAGATTAATTAAAGGGGATATGAAACTAAAAGTACGATCCAGTATAATTTTGCAGGATAGGAAACAACTTCTACTTAGTGAAAACTGAAAAATAATAATAAAGGTCATGAGACACCCATACAGTTGGCTGAAAATATAACCTACAAACTAATGACTGATCAATTATAGTCAACTGACTAGACACTCATTGGTTACAATTCCACAAACAAAATGTATTACAATATGCATCAAATCAATCCCTATATGTACAAGATGAGTTGAACAATATAAAAAGTAGCCAGGGATTTTTAAAAAAATAAAGTCACTGGGTGGGGGGGGCACTTACCAACACAATTATCACACGAAGAGCAATGTGATGCTCGAGGAGGACGAAAAAATCGGCAACTATGACAATAATTAATTTTGACTAGATGATCCCCAATAAGTATTTGACGTGTTCTTGCACCGGGTGGATAAGTACGAACTGTATTCGCATCACGATCATTTTGATTATTTACATCATTTATGGCTATATCTCCAGAAGCTAATTTTTTTTCAAAAACAACAACAACAAAAAAAAATATATAGTATATGCACGGCAGTGAACACTAAAAAAAAATTGTACTCCTAGTAAACAAACAAACAAACAACAGATAAAAACTTCACATAAAAATGAACCGAACACCAAAAAAAAACTTTTCCTTTTCTCAAATGACGAACAATCCACTAATTGCATGCATTAATATACAACAGACAAAGGTGCTTATTATCACCAATGATATTCCTAATTGTGGTGGACTGGATTATGCGTCAGACAGTGGGAAACGAGAAGACAGGGATATCCTGGACCGACGTGAAGAACCTAGAAGACCTGGATTTCGCGCGGGATGATTTATGTCTGATGTCACACAAAATCGAAGACTTACAAGCGAAAACCGACAAACTGGTCGAAGAAGCAGCAAAGACAGGACTCCAGGTGAACATAGACAAGACGGAGGTTATAAAAATAACCAACCAACAACAACAAAACAGCAGCAGCAACGTCCAGCTCCAATCACCATCAACAGGAGGGATTTGAAAGAGGTTACTTCATTCACTTATCTAGGGAGCATTGTCTCAACTACAGGAGGAACGGACGAGGATGTCAAATCAAGAATCGGGAGGCGAGAAACACATTCATCAAACTGAAACCAATCTGCAAATCTTTGTCACTCAGCCTGCATAAACAACAAAATTCGGATTTCCAATACAAACGTCAAGTCAGTTTTGTTATACGGATCAGAAACTTGGTGGGTCACAAAAAATGAGTATTTCCAACAGCCTGTTGCAGACCTTTATCAACAGCTGTCTTCGTTCTATACTGAAGGTCAGATGGCCGCCGGAAAGAATCACCAACAAGAAACTATGGGAACAAACAAAACAAGAACCAATCGCCAAACAAATATGCAGGAGAAAGTGGGGATGGATTGGACACTCGCTGAGGAGGCCGCTGGGTGACATTGCGCGTCAGGCCATAGCTCGAGTGGAACCCGAAAGGGAAGCGGCGAGTGGTTCGTCGGTGCAAGGGTGACATGGAGGAGATCGTGTGAAGAGGATTTGAAACAGTATGGACTAACATGGATGCAGGTGAAAGGTACAGCAGAAGACAGAAGCAAGTGGAGGCGTGCAGTTGAAGCCCTTTGTTCCACTAGGAACCCAAGGGAACAATAATAATAATATGCAACAGTTGGAACTACCGTTGTAATGCTGAAAATACGACATTTACCTACCATTAAACATTATTAGCAGTACTATTAAAACCAAACTGTGGTACATTACAGACACTAAACAAAATCGCATAATTTGTGCGATGGCTGGGATGCTACCCGAATATCTTGACAGAAGCACGTAGTTGAGTTGTCTTAGAGAGACCACTGCTCCCCGGACTTTTGATTCACAGTCTGATGCACAAGGCAGTGGAGCAGAGTGAGGGGTCACGTTGTCATAACTTCCAGTGACCAGAACAGGTTCATACAGCATTCTACAGCATTCACATTCTACAGCCCATATACACAACATACGTTTGGAATCAGGGTTTTCCAGCTCCACTATGTAGGTAGGTCACAACATATTCACCAGTTAGTCCGGTTGTAAGCGCCAAAAGTTTACATTCGTTCTTAAACTTACGTGGCAGAGGTAGGCTATGAACGTGTGTGTAGCCTCACATGAGATCATTTCACGAATAAAACCGAAGTCCAGTCGCCTTTGACTGTACCAGGTCATTTATAGGGTGTGAGAGTAATCAAGTGAGAGAATACTGAATAATCAAGCAGTTTTATGAATGTTCTATCTACATCTAGTCGGAAATTAAGCATCTGCTTTGAGGACGTATATATATATTAGTGTAGAGCCACTGATGAAGAACTAATTGAAAAGGAATATATATCTTCGCTCACTTTGTTTTTTTCGTAAAGGCGAATTAAACCATCTTAGATTAAATAGATATAAACCGTCACTGAATGTAGCCACTCCCACAGAACAACTGAAGCATTGTGATTTTACATTGACTACAACAGAAAGTATTCAGGAACTGAAGAGGGCAGTGAAATAAAATATAACCTAGTTAGCAGATGTAAGTTCATGGAAAAAGCCCAGTCTAAAGATGAATCCTATTTTTCCCTACACTATTCCAACTAGTAATACACACCACCTATAGAAACTATAGTAAACACATAAAAATTGAGGACTTGAGCAAAATTCTCCTCTTACTATATCACATTGGCCTCACATTGAAACTTGAAATGCATGCAATTCATTTCAAGGAAAACAAATTTTCATGGTAACCATACAAGTTGTCTACACAAATCAATAGGACGAAGCAGAAGTTAACTTATTCAAAACTTACCAACTGACATTTCAGTCCACTCCATCTCAGGACGTGTAGCCCGTGGTATAATTCCTGGGTCTGTGAATGCTGCACGAAGAAATGTAATGACCACATAGACGAATTGAATTGCTGCCAAAATAGGCACAGCCGGAGTTAGTAGTGGAGTTAGAAGGCGACATTCGAATGCAAAAAACAGTATTGTAACGCCAATAATCAAAAGTAAACTGACAGTAAATATACACATGTCTCGAGAATATACTCCATGACCACGGCAACAAAACCTGTTACGCCCTGGATGTAGGCGATAATATGCAATACGAACACTCTGATTATCTTGCATATTCTCACTTATTAAACTGCATAGACATTCCTTCAATCAAGACGGTGTGGCTACAACGATATCCAACATATCCTGTGGAAATGCTGTCCTGGAATAAAAGATGAAACAAATAAGAAGTCACATACCAAAATGAAAATAAAAATAACCCTGAAATAATTGAATACATATGATTTTTCTGTTCAATGAAGTATTTACGGCACATTTACAAGTAATCAAGCTATCCATTACTGATATCAGGTAACCATAGACATGACACAATGTACACGTATAAGAAAGATGCAACTCCGTACTGAAAGAAACATCTGAATGCGTAAAAATTATGTCCCTTTTACATGTTCGCTTGGCACCTACCTGTGTTTCAGTCCATATTAACACAAGCCTCTACATTATGCTATTGCTTTATCTACGAAAACCTCAATAAAAATCTGAAAACGATAAAGTACATCTACCTCTTTGAAAACCTACACAAAAATGTCTGCTTTAAAAATATTTTTTTAAATAATCTTAACAACAGGGTAGTTTGCCATTTAAGAAAACTGAAACTTATTTACTAAAACTAAACATCTGACAGATAAATTATGTGGGCGGTGAAAACAAGATGGCAGTCTCATACTCTATTTTGATAGATCAATAAATGCAATGTCGTCTGGTACAGCATTATTCCCTACAATCTCATATTATTACACACATCACATTACCCTGGATAGCTGTTTTCACTATCCACATATACATGAGTACGGCTTAAACATTCGGAAAATGTATGATAAAAATAGGACCTGAAAACTAATTTTTTCATTAGCACTTTTGACAATCACGAATGACTCATCAATTAGGCATTCACAATAATATTTAGTAACCATGTAAAGGTAGAAGAATTCTGAATGTTGTTACCCCCTCGCATATACATGAGTTGTATATCTGATGTATTGAGTGTAACAGGTATGGACTGTGAGCAATTAATAATAATGCTAACACATTACAGTCAACAGACTACTTTATCTCACTTACTTTTAAGTGATGATAATCGGGAGTGAACTGAGCAAGTACAAGAGCTTCTGAAATCCCACCTAAGGAAAAGACAAATCCATAAATTATGAATCAAAAACTAGATGCCGTAGTGTGTTGCGTAATTGTTAAATTGCTACAAATAAAAAGAGATTGAATATCCATATACCTGGATTAACAGCAAACAGAAAAGTGATAACTCTTCGGAAGTAGTAAAATAATGTGAGTGCCTATCCACGGTTACCTACACGGTTATATGGTGAATGTTGAGCTACATTAGTTGCGTACCAGAAACACTGAACTCATAACCGCATTACTACAAATCGAAAAGTACAGTTTACAAACATCATTTTGCGAGATAATTTGGGAAGTTACACGAATGTTTAGGGCAGAGATAAGATAACCAATACCACGACACCTTAATTTTCTTGCTGTAGATTAAGAAAGCGTCCAGGTACAGACGACGTTCATTGAAATGAACAGTTGGAGACTACAAAGATTCCTGCTACCTGTTGCTCCAGTTACTCTCAGTATTTTCAAACTTAACTGATACGCCTAAGATTGCACTTGGTAGTAACTTGCTAACTTCGTACGTACAACATATTTCAGTTAGTTCAGTCAATGAAGATTAACAGCCTCATCGATTGTTTCAATTTACCCACCCGTCGTAACATTAATATCAGTTATCCAATGATGGTCGCCAAAAATAATCCTCAAACCTATACTTATTAACACTCATTTATTTCACATATAAACACCAAACCCATTAGCGAGGATACTTTGAGGATACTATATAAAACCACTCGGTGTACGCCTGGCTATCATAAACTGTTTCATCAGAAGCGAATACCACAGAGAACAACATGGAGTTATGTGATTACAACAAAGAATATTTATGCTTAGCCGGTGCTATGTATATCATTAACTTCACAAAGTAAATAACCTCAGTTTGAATAAAAATGAATATTCCCCCAAAAATATCGCGACAGACGATAAGTACATGTACGGTGGAGAGTTATTTATCCCAGTTCACTGCAACTGTGAAAAAAATGATGAGCATCCCCTTAAAAGGAGCTCAAAACTAAAAGTCCGACGAAGCAATTTGAAATGAAATACATGTACTGTGACGTTACGTATACATGTCATCTAAACAGAATTTTGGACTTAAAGTACAGTACTTAATTAATAATATTGGTGCCATTTTCGGAGGCACACTGTCTCTACATTTCAGTCATATGTGCGAAGGCATACACGGATTTACAGACATAACTCGAAAATTACGATTTAATAGTTGGTGATCCCTATAAAAACATGTTTAAATAAACTGAACCATAGAACTTTGAACATTGCCACTACAACATGTTGTGCACTACCGAGTAGTACACCTAAGTGTCTGTAAAAATGTACGTCTTGTCCCCATTTTGTACACGGTCAAGAGGTATTGTGGGTTAAATTGTTGAACTTTAGTTCAGGATATCACGCCTAAAGGATTCTACGCTTTATTCTGAATTGAGGTTTAGTCTGTATTAATGCGTGGTCTGGTTATACAACCAGGCTAGAAAGGACTTGCTTCCGAAAATTCAGCAACTATATTAAACACGAATAAAAGAGCCCTAACACAACATTATACTTTCATACATCAAAACCGAAACGTTGCAATATTCAAATAAGACCAGATTAATATGGTCGGCATATGTAGGGAAACTACAATAGAGGTCAGTGTTGAGGAATATTGGGCAACCATAAAACAACTGTTATATAATGAAACATATAACTAATGTTAAATAATATATATCTACTAAGGGTGCTAGTTTTATATTTTTCAAAGTGCGAGACAATCCTACGCGGAAATCTTGTGTGAATAAAACGAATAGGTCAGCCGTAGAATAGAGGTAACTACAGAGAATGCTACACCTCGTAAAAATATAAGAAAGAAAATTACCCTACGAAAATATCTCCCCAAAACACTTACTTCAACGTAGCTCTCAACTTAAAACATCCCTCTCAAGTTTTACCTCAAGGCAATTGCACGCGTCCAATATCCAATACATCAGTTGTTTGTAAACTAGTTCGAGACTATCGTTTCATTTAATTTCACTTCCTAGATCCAATATCCAATATCGTGGTTACGAGCTAGTATAAACCAGTGATTTCTTTGAGCTCGCTTCTTGATTGTAAGGTAGAGGTTCCAGATCTTCGGTGAACTTATGCTTAGTAAATCCCGCCACTCGACTGCTTTAGCTCTGGTAGACTCCAAGAGGAGTGGTGCGAGGATTGGTCAAGATTGTGATTTGTAGTGTGCAGTATGTTAGGACTCAGTTGCTGCCGTGAATGGAGTTTGACCTAACACCCGTTGGTCATTCGGTATAGTCATAAAAGTAGAATAGTAATAATAATAATAATAATAATAATGATAATAATAATAGGTTGTAGTGTAGATAATATAGGTTGAGATAAGCGAAATAATAAAGGTGAAATAATAAAGAAAGAAAGAAAAGATAGAGTAGTCGGTACAGTGGGACAAGGCAGGACGGGTCGTGGAGATCTAGCTTGTATGCTTATCCATTGACAATGTGGTTTCAAATTTTAAGAGGGTAAGCCATTGAGACACAAACCATGCATTTCTGCATGATTGTCCAGCTTCCGCTTAAAAGTCTCCACCGATGGAGCTGTAGTTACGGCCGCCGGTAAAGCGTTCCAGAGACGGCAAACTCGAAGCGAGAAGAAATGTGAACGCACCCGAGTCCTGGGTCTCTGGTGTGCTGTCCTTAGCGGGTTACCTCGTGGAAGCCTATAATCACTTAATGGCAGGATGCTCTTATTAGGGTGGGCCTGGTCATTTAAGATCTTATAGACGGTGATGAGGTCTCCCCTGTGACTACGGTAACTAAGTGTGAAAAGACTTAATTTCTTCAGTCTTTCTTCATATGATTTGTTGCGGAGGCCGATCACCCATTTTGTCGCTCGTCTCTGGACACTTTCTAGCATGTTAGCATCCCTTTTGAGTAGCGGAGGAGCAATGATATTATGCACCTCAAGGAGTGGCCTCACGTATGTCGTATACAACGTTAGGAATAGTTCAGGAGTAAGAGCTCCCAGCTGCCTATGCATAAAGTGTAAATTTGCGTAGGCTTTGGCGACGTCCCTCGTGTAATTTACACTGGTGTCTAGCTTTTCTGTTAATATAAGGCCTAGATCGCGTTCCGATGGCACACAACTCAAGTTCTGGCCACCAAGGGTGTGATTTGCACTCTGTGACCTGCCGGAATGAAGTTGCACTACTTTGCACTTCTTTAAGTTGAAAGGCATTCCGTTAGCCAGAGCCCAGTCTCCCAGAGTTTGCAGGTCAGCCTGCAATCTGTCGGAGTCTTCCGATGAGTTTATTGCCCTCCAAATCTTTACGTCGTCAGTGTAAAGAAGCGCAGAGCAGTTCAGTTGACAGGGCAGGTCGTTGATAAAAATCAAAAACATCAACGGCCCTAAGATAGAACCCTGAGGAACCCCTGATGCCGAGGTGTGCCAGGATGATCGGATGCTGTTGACTTTGGTGCAGAATTCTCTCTCGCCTAAATAATCTTCCAGCCATGCGAGAAGTGCTCCAGAAACACCCGCTTTGCTTATTTTCTGAAGGAGCAGACCATGGTGAACTGTGTCGAATGCTTTCGCAAAGTCGAGAAAGATCACATGGATTGGTACCTTTACATCCCAGGATAGTGTCCAATCGTTCCAAGCTAGTAGAAGATTCGTCACACAGGATCTTCCCCTCCTGAAACCGTGCTGTGCTTCATGGAGTAGGTTAGTCCCGTCGAAGTATTTTCTCATGTGGTCGTCAATGAGACTTTCCAATATCTTCGATATCACTGGGAGTAGCGCTACTGGTCTGTAACTGGTCGCGTTCTGCCGGTCACCACCCTCGAAGATAGGGGATAGGATGGCTCGTTTCCATTCACATGGAAGTTTCCCTACATCAAAGAAGTGTTGAAACAGATCACTTAGGGGTTGGCAGAGACTTTCTGAACACTGCTTCACGACGGATGGTCTTATGTCATCGCAACCTGCAGACTTTCCCGAAGCCAACTTTCCCAATTTTACGAGTACCATAGCCGGGGTAATTTGAAATGTACCCAGCAGGTTTTCGCACGTTGGTCTTGCTTTGTAACCTTGATGTTTTGTGGGGATAAAATCCTCATTACTGTTCAGTTGCCTGTGAAAGGCTAGACTGAATGTCTCTGCCATTTCAAGACTAGTAAGAGATTTCCCATCAGAAGCCACTAGATTGCATGCTCCCTAGTTGGTCGGTTTTCTTTCAGACATAAACCTGCATAGGCTTTTGGGGTTCACGAGAAGCTTATTGGCGAGGTTTCTCTGAAATGTCCTTCTATCACTCCGGACTCGTATGTTACACCGATTCCTGAGTTCGAGGTACACTTCATGTTCGGGTTGACTCTTCGATACTCGCCACGCAAACCAGGCTTTTCGCTTCGCCTGTAGAAGGCGTTGTATCCCCCTTTTTAGCCATGAACGTTGCTTTCTAGCTTTAGGTGTGACCAAAGGAACAGTGTCTGAGACCGCCTGGTGAATGATCTCCTTTACCACTCTCCAGTGTTCTTCTACTGTAAGCTCTGTCCAATTTTTTGGCCAATTTGCTTCAGACAAAAGTCTTCGCATTTCGGTGTAATTGGCTTTGTTATAACACAGATAGGGCTGTGTTTTGTCCCACTGTAAACGCTCGCGGAGGACTATGTCGAATTTTATGACCGCGTGGTCACTACGACCTATGGGAGTTGTGATCTGAACGTTTTCCACCAGTAGCTGGTCACTAGTGAGCACGTAATCCAGTCTAGAAGACTTCCCATCTGGGCCCCATCTAGTATCCATTCTGACATTTTCGGTGAATCCGGCCTCCTTGATGGTATGCAGCAGATTTCGATCAAATCTGTCCTGGGCACATCCCGTCATCAAGTTAAGAGATGGGGCATTGAAGTCTCCAGCTATGACAATTTGATCATAACCCACGTCATGTGTCGCTGAAGTTGCATTCAGCAGTACCTGGTTGTGGTCTGCTCCACATGAAGGTGATCTGTAAATGCTGCCCACTAGATACAGTACCCAACGGTGAAATGGCACCATATGGAGTCAGGGAGCTCAATGAGGGGAGGGTCGATTGCATGGACACATCTGAGCTGTTTGTCGACGTATATGGCGACTCCACCTCCTTCTTTCAGATCCCTATCTCGCCTGACTAGGACCATATCATTTATACTGACTTCGCTGTCTGCCACCGTAGGGGTTAGCCAGGTTTCCGTCAGTATTATGATTTTGGAGTTCAGCTATGATTGTAGGTATCCAAGTTCAGCTATTTTGCCCCTTAGACCTCTCACATTACTGTACAGGCAACTGGTAGTCAGTCTCACCACGTCCCCGTATTGGGGGGTGGTTGACGTGATGTGGGCTGTCGGTTGAGGAGTTATCCTACGAACTAGTTGGCCGATTCCCCGGGAACCGGCCTGTTGGCGTTTTTTTCTTCTGATTCAATCGGAGCACTTGGATGACACTGGCTATCATCGTCCGTGCTGCGCCGCTGTATTGTGACTAGGGGTTGGGGATGTTCTATGACAACGTTTTGTTCTCTCCTTTGGGTACGAGGCCGGTTGTCGCAGCAGCGAATGTGTCTGCTGACCTTGTCCTTGGTCTCGTACCATCTCTGGAGAGCAGTAGTCAAGTGGTCTCGGGAGCTGAACTTAACAGCTAACAGACGTGGAGTGTTAATTGACATTAGGTGAGTGGGTCGAGGCAGTCTAAAAATAGAGACAGCCCCTGAACTTCCCAGACCCATCTGGGATGCCAACCATCTCCATTGCTGTACATCGTGACAGTGCTTCTCACAAGCGTTCCCAGTTCCCAGTTCGGGAATGCCGTGAACAACCATGGAGGCAGAAGGAATAAGCTCTGGCGACTCCCTCGCCATCTGTCTTTCCTTCCATGGCCTATCTGGCCTAACACGTATATTGCAGGTCCTCCCTATAGAAAGGACTTGGGAAGTCAATATAACTTTTTCGGCATCTTCGGCAGAGCCTAGTGTTACCCTCAGTGGGGATGGTTTGCCTTGAGGAGCAGCAGTGCCCTTATACAATCTGCACAGTTTTACTGGTTGGATGTCCAGACCCAGTGTGCTACATAAGTTGGACCACTGTTCCTGATCAAACAGGACCCTGTTTTCCAGCAGACTACTGCTACAGTCTGGTACATTAAAGAGGATAACGCAGTTTGATCGACTAACCGTGGATTTAGGTTTGGTCCTCGCACATTTGTCATCCCCCTTAAGACCATTTTGTTTCGTCTGGTGCAACTGGGTATTATTATGTGTCGCAGTGATGGGGCCACTTTTACTGGTGGACGGTAAGGGTTTTTTCCCAGCGACAGGTACCCTTGGTGCTTCAACCTCTGTGTCTGGGGCAGTTATGGCAGGAATTGCAAGTATAACCGGTGTGGATTTTGGTATCCCCGATTTACATGCAATTGTGCTGTTTTCTGAGTTGGTGGGAGTAAAACGTTTCACGTTTTTTCCTGATATCTCTATGCCATCTGTAGCTTTCGAGGAACTACACGAGGCTGCATTAGGACGGCAACTTGGGCATATGTACCAGAACCATGGGCATGGGTTCTTACGCATAAAATCGTAATATACCTTTGGTACTCCGGTGTCACATCTACAATGTACCCATTGCTTACAAAAGTTACATTCGAAAGCAGAGTCTGCTTGTCCGACAATAGAATTGCAGACCTTGCAATCGTCTGCCTTCTTGGGGAACGTTTTCGTCGTCTTGCGACGTCGTGAACGTTTCTTATTGGCCTTCCTGTTTGTTTCAGGGCCTACTGTGGATATGGGTGTCATACTATTCCCACTTTGTGCAGATTTACCACTCGCCTCTATTAACTTAGTCGTGTTAACAGGGATGGAGCCACATCCGCTTAGTTGACTTTTCACAGTTTCACTGTAGGACTGCGGCGACATGGACAAT